ATGTATGGGTATGTGTATATTTTTATATATGCCCTCCACGTATTTATCCATTTATTTTTCAGGTGAGCGGACAGATGTTGGGTCCTGTGTTTTGTTGGTGTATATTTAATATAATCCTAATTGCTATTTCAATCTTTCTATCGTTCTAATCACTTCTCTATTTTTCTCTCTGTCTCTATTTTCTCTTCACTTAAAGTCACTGATGATGAAGAAATAAATAAACTAAATAAACTAATATTTGGTTTCATTTTCTACTGAAGTGACAAAAAAAAAAGAGTTCTGAAATCCCACTGGATGAAACCACTGAAGGCCCTTCACGTCCAACGAGAGGTTCCGCTCCGGGTTTTCCGACGAGCCGATCCTCCTCCAGCCGCTACAGGTGGTTGTAGTATTTTCCGGGTTTTTGTTGGCGCTTCACTTTTCCTGGTGTTTTTTTTTTTCTTCTTCTTGCCTGGACTCTGGGTGAATTTTGAATAGAGACACTGAGCAGCAACGTCTCTAGTGTACAGCAGCACGAAGTCCCATGCTTTGGGGGGAAAAACTAAACAATAAGATATGGCGGGATTGACGAAAAACTCTCCTTCAAAAAGGAAAATGGTCGCTGGAATGTAGTTTTTTATTAGTTTGTTTTAATTTCCTTCCCGTGTTTTTTTAGTTTTCGGACTCTGACGGGATTATTGGTATGATTTAAATATGCCCTTTCATCAGAGGACCGTCGAGCCGCGCCGTGTGAGCAGGTTGTCGAGCTGGAGACCGCGGGGAGAAGCCGGGAGACGCAAAGTGCGCAAACTTGTTTTGTTTTCGTCCCTGGACGAGGTGAGCTGCCACACGTTCACCAGCTTAATCCAGCAGCTCTCCGACCTCTCTCGCCACGCCAGCGACATCTTCCTGGGCATCGAAATGGAGGCAGGGATGGTGTTCAGGAGGTCGTGCAGGATTCAGGGGCGGCTGTACCACCTGCAGAACGACGTGCTCCAACTGGACCCCAAGAAAGTCCAAATCCGTGAGTTTTAAAACTTTGTTTCCTCTTTGACTGTCCGCAGGATTCAGTTGTGATTTTAAAAACAGACTTTGGAGATTTGTGATGTAAAATACCCCTTATTGAGACAGGTGCAGCTGTTTTTATTATAATACCCTCAGAAGGTCTTATTGGAAAATGTTTAGTTGTCAATAATCACAACTTTTCCCGACATTTCTTAAAAAAAAACACATTTGTTACTTTAAATAATTTCCAATGCTTCTGTAAACTTCAAATCACTTTACCACACTTTAGTGTTTCTATAAATGCTTTATATTTCATTATTAACGCATCTTTGAATCCCAAAATGTATCATTTAAAACTGTTTAGTTACTTTTTTTTATAAACTCTAGACCTCCACTTTCAATTTTTATATCAGCTCACTGTGAGATGGTCCACATTTACATTTGCAGGGTGCTGTAACATTAAAGTACATTTAATGTACACAAAAAG